TAAATAAATAAATAAATAAATAAAATAAAATAAAAAAGAAATAAAGACTAGACAAATTTAAACCAAAATATCAGCATAATTGCAAAGAACTGAAAGTCACTCCCTCTCTGAGTCTTAAAACAGGGTCTCACTATGCAGTCCAGGCTGGCCCTGAACTTTCTATGAAGCCTAGGCTGGACAAACTCACAATCTTCCTACTCAGCTTCCCAAGTGCTAGAATTACAAGGCTACCACACCCAGCTCCTTCCCATCTTTTACAATGGTAGATTATTAAATAGTCTTTTTAACAATAATATACATTACATAAAAAGAAAAAAATCTAATAAAACTTTTAACTTCAATTTATATCAACCAGGGGCCAGGGAGATCGCTCTGTGACATAAGCATCTGCTTGGCAAGCTCAAGGTCTGAAGTTTGATCCCTGGTACCACAAAAACAAACAAACAAACAATTTATATCAACCATTTTGATTTCTTCCTTAAGTGAAGATACAGAAAATAACCAAACATTCTTACTATCCTAAATCCAATAAATGAGTCAAGGCCCAAGAGCCTCATAACATTGTCATGATTACTGCTGCTGGTATTTAACCAATCGGGTAGCAGAATCTAATCTCATACCTTAGAGTCTCCCGAGCAGTATATCCTGAGCCGATCAGTATGGATTCATCAAACAGTTTGTCCATGCAAGGAATGAACTCTAGAAAACAAGCACACATTTGCATGTTACTGATAAGACCAATTACATATTAAATAACTGCTCAGGTATTTACAGAAGCCAGCCTGCAGCCCAACATACTACCCACACTTAAAAAGGGGCTAAGAGGCACCCAGAAAGGAGCATGTACTACCAAGCCAAAGCACTTGCTCTGCTGAGCCATGCAAGCCATTTATCTCCAAAGGTGTGGAAAAGGCCATCTTCAGTGTCAGAGAACTGACGGAGGAGAACAGATAGTCAAAAGAATATTTAGATTCTAGAACAAGACTGACATACAGCCAGCTTCAGTTAAGTCAAATAAACATTTTTCATCATCAACTAGCTACTGAAGGTCAAAGATATAACGGGAAATGTATACAATAGAGAAACACCACACATCTCTGCTTAACTTCAAAAACAAGGCAGAACCAGATGATGTGTCAAGAAAGCAGAAGCAAGCAGTCCCTTCTGAGGTCAGAGGAAGAAGCATGTATCCAAGAGACAGGAGGCACAAAAGGAAAGAAAGCCCACAAACACCAAATGCTGAAAATAGATTAGTAAGAATTGCATATAAAGAGAAGTTGTTAGAAATTAAGTCATATATCCTTTCTATGATCCAAAAGCAAAATATCTAGAAAAATGCCCAATTTGTAACAGTAGATTTTCTCAATTCACTGGGCCTCAGAACTGTGCAAATGGTAGTCAAGACTTTTTTTTTTTTTTTTTGCGGTACCAGGGCTTGAACTCAGGACCTTGTGCTTCCCAGGCAGGTGCTCATGCTGGTGAGCTATCTACCCAGCAGAACTGTGTAAATGGAATGACACAGCCAGACATGGCACACACCTAGGCTGAGGAAGGGGGAATCAACACAAGTACACAGTGAGTTCAAGGCCAGCCTGCACTAAATAGTGAGATCTTGCCTCAAAAATACCCAAGAAAAAATAGCCAACATTTGGTATTCGTTCAAAAACCTAAATCTAAGAAGAAACATCAGTAGATACAGAAATTTTAACTGTAATACACATTTTATACATTATATATTTATAGCTAACATTTAATGAGTCCATGAGCTTCCCAATAAAATGCTATGTATTTTGTTAGAAATCAAAAAGCCAATCCACAAAGAGATCCCTCTCAAAAAGAGAAGAAATGTAAAAGCTGAATTCCAAAGGGCTAATGGGATGAAACCTTACAAGACTGCAGCTTGAGAGTCCAGCAATCTTGGTGAGCTCATGTTAGCAGATTAACACTAAACTTTACAGCCTCCCTCTAAAGAGGGTTGTTTATCCATGGATGAAGGGGGCTGCTTGGTTAAGCGACTAGAAATGCAGTATCACAAGTGAAAACCTCCTGCTACCCAGATTCCCAGAGGCAGAGACTAAATCCTCATCACTCTCAAAGCAGGACTACTCCAGCTCAGGTGCAGCGTGGGTGAGACCCTCTTCCACCCCAAGGACACCCCCACCACTCCGCACCACCTCCCCCACCCCGCCCACCGAGTAGGAATTTATGCTGCATTCCGGGAACCCCCAGATCTAGTTGTAGCCCAGGCCCGGTGAGTGTGTGGGAGAGCTTCCAGCTACCCAGAGTGAGCGGGACCGGTCCCAGCCCAGGTGCAGCAAGGGTGAGATCCCCTTTCAGCCCCTTGGGATGCCCTCCACCACTCCATAGTACCCCCCACCCCGCCCACCAAGTAGGGATTTCTGTCGTATTCTGGGAACCCCCACATCCAGTCCTAACCCAGGCCCAGTGAGTGCGTGGGAGAGCTGCCTCTCCCCCTACTCAACCTTGTCTCCTCCAGACTCAGCTCAGGCCTGGCATACAGGCCTGGGGTGAAACCCTTCAGCTGCAATCCCTGCAGAGAGTATAGGGGACAGAAACACCCAGCTAGTCCAGGAATACAACATCTTGCCAGAGGAGCACAACAGGTTGACCCACAAGGGCAGCAGCAGGAAGGAGCTGAACACAGCAGCCAGACCGAAGCCAGGCACAACTGGATAAATCCAAACTTTGTAGATCTGCACCTGAACTTTAGTAGGTGCTCAGGTTATAACTGCAACAAAGATCTACAACAAAGGTCAGAAGACAATGCTACAAAAAATGACAACGAGAAGGAGCAAAATGCAATCTCAAAACCCAAACCCACCCATAACAAGTGCAGAGGACACTAACACAGAACAAAGTGGAAATCACACAGCTGAAATCAATGAATCAATGGCTTATGAAATAAAGAAACAGCTGCACAAAGGTATAGAGGAACTCAAATTGGAAATGAAAAAAGAAATCCCTGAATTAATAACATCTGCAGTAAAGAATCAAATGCATAAACATATGGAGGAAATACAATGCTCACCCAGAACAAGTGCAGAGGACACCAGCTGGGCTCAAATGTATGAATTAATAGCGTCAATAGTAAATAAGCAACAGCAGAAAGTCATAAAAGAACTCAGAGCGGAATTCTTTTCTACTAGCTCAACTCAAATGTACCAATCAATAGTGTTGATAGTAAATAAGCAACAGCAGACAGTTACAGAGGAACTCAGAGCAGAATTTTCTGAAATAAGAATTCTCATAGTCACAGCATTTGAAGTAAAGAATCAACTACAGAAACATAGGGAGGAAACCCAATCTGAAAAAAACACTGCAGTAAAAGAATTAATAACTGCTTCTAAAGAAGACATTGATAAAAAAAAATTACAGGAGATTAGAAAAATGACGGATTCCTTGAATAAGCAATACAGGAAAGAAATAGATCACATGAAGCAGAGTCAAACAGATATAGAGGAAATTAAAATCTCAGTCACAAGCTTGCAAAACCGTTTAAGTGAAAGTGAAGACATAGTTTCAGATCTTTAAGACGCTGGGGCACCTAGTGAAAAGGTAAGAAAGGATCTCTTAAAAACAACTAGGATGCAGGAAAAAATAATCCATCACCAGCAAGATGATGCAAAGATGAACAATGTGAGACTCATAGGCATCAATGAGAAAGAGTCAATACAAGTGACATTTAAAAAATATGGGCATCTCT